GGGTTGAAAATTCAGTGCCGGAGGACTTAATCCTAGATATATTCCCTAAATTGCCGGTGAAATCCCTTATCAGATTCATGTGCTTGTCCAAGTCGTGTTATCAGGCCATCTCTGATCCTCGATTCTTCCACCTTCACCTCCATCATTCCAACCAAAGCAACAAACAATTTGTCCTTCGGATTAGTGAGGGCCCTCTAACCCTGCAATCTTTGTCTTTCTGCCATCATCAATTGCTTCGAGAACCGGTGACATTGGATCAACCTATTCTGCTTCTGTCTATTTGGCAGTGGGAAATGGTCGGTTCCTGCAATGGGGTTCTGTGTTTGACAACTTCTCCTGAATCCATTCACTATTTAGGTATTCTAAACCCTTCAATTAAAAAGTTAAAGCTTGTTCTTTTTCCCATTTTGGAGTATTCCTTATGTCCCTCTAACGATCTTTATACATCGGTAGATGGAACATACATTTCAACTGAAATTGGGTTTGGTTTTGATTCCCTCACAAGTGATTTTAAGATTGTGATAATTTTTCGAGAAAATTATTCAGAAAGATGGAGACAAGTTCAAGTGTACTCACTAAGAAAAAATTCATGGAAGGTTCTTAGTAATGTTCCCAATTCTTTATACGATGAATATTACTCATATGAGCCTCAAGTAGTTGTTAATGGAGCTTTTTATTGGTTTGTAAGCTCTGTCTTCGATTGTTTCTCGATCTTGATGTTTGATTTCACTGATGAAACATTTAAAGAGATTAAGATGCCAGATTGTTTAGACGAAGATCTAGGTGAATTTGATAGCTTGGGGGAAGTCAAGGGAAAATTATCCTTGCTGCATTTTGATATAAATTCTTCTACGGATGTTTCAATGGAGCTGTGGATGATGGAGGATTCTGGTTGGGTTAGACAATTTGTTGTCAATGTGAGTCAGCTTTACGAACCTACATGCTTGGCGATGAATGATGAAGTTATGCTACTGTTAACACATCCTAATGATGAAGTTGGCCATATTCTTTCTCGTGACCTCAAGACCTTGGAGTTGACTGACCATGGAGTTGAGGAGGAGAGTTCCCGTGCTTTTACCTATACACCGAGCCTGGCCTTACTTGGGGAAGAAAACTAATGGTTTGAGGACCTCTGAATGGTATGATGTTTAACATTGTTGTTGTACTATTTCTCAATTTGTTTTTGGTTTTCATGAGACACCATCTGTTATCCTGTTTAATTCAGTTTATATATTTTGATGACTCCTTTTTTACCATTGTGTTTTCAGCATCTCAGTCATAGAGTATGAGTGTTTTCTTGGTTGGAATGGAATGTCTTTTATTAGAAAAGCAGTATCCATTTGTCTTCTTCTCCCTACATACCCCATGAAAACAGAATGGTACCGAATGAATTGATTGTTGACATATTCACCAAATTGCCTGTTGAATCGCTTGTCCAATTCATGTGCCTGTCCAAGCTGTGGTCTCAGGTGACTTAATACTTTCACGTGCTTTTATTTATACACCAAGCCTAACTTTGATTGGGGATGAAAACCATTGGTTCATCAACTCCTCTAAACTCTTTGATTTGTATTTAAAAGTTAGTTAGAATGCTAGTAAATAAGTTATATTTGGTTCATATTAAATATGTTAATATATATTACCAAAA